ATGAACTTTTAATGAACTTTAGTTTCCCATTAAATCTCTGATTAACCAGATTCTACAAAAACATCTGTAATTAAAATTTTATGGGTTTTCTTCATCATTTGATGTATTTGCACTCATTGGGTCTGCTTTTATTGTTCAGTTTAGATATGTGCAGTGCTTAATTTGAGCCGGATCCTGCCAGAACAAGATCCGGGAACTCTCTCTCTTCTACCAGGTGTGTTCCAGCAACTGTTTGCTCGGATCCGGCAACTCAAATCTCTGCCCCTAAAAATCCAAAGTCATCGCGCATTTTTATTTTTATTATTTGGTAAAAATACAACGGGAGGAGATGTTGCCCAGTCTGTGGAGTAGATATTACGGCTGCAGCAGGTGCAGCAGGTGCACCAGCTCGCGCACATGCTCCTGCCCAGCAGAGACGTGGACGACATGTCCCAGGGTGATGAATTGTCTTCATCAATATGGCAAACCAAGTGGTCCATTAATAGCCAGACATGTGGTAAAAGTGGCTATTAATAGGCCACTTGGTTTGCCATACCTTACGCATAGCAACGTCTCCAGACAGCTCTGAGCGAGCACAACTACTGATGTGAACTCACGCATACGTTTCACACATGATAAATAAAAAAGCATCACTAAAGTTAAAAAAATACGAGAGAAATGTTTGATGTGTATTATTCACATTACATCATGTTTCAAAACAACTGCACTAATTTGTCAATATAACAGCGATCAAAATGTCGAAAAGACAGTCCAGTTTATTCTCTAAAATAAATGGATGGATGGATTGTCCTTAGTTGGACAACTGAGAAGGCAGTCTTAACGGAGGTTGGAGCAGCAGGAGCAACAATTAGCAGGAATGAAATCAGTGGAGATTCTTAGATTAATTCTTGTTTTGTGATTTGTACGTCTGTGGGTTAGAATAAAGTTGAACTAAAGGCTGTAGCTCTTCTTTAAACATGGTTGAGGGAAATATTCCTGAGAGATCCAATAATTGTGTGTCTTTGTATGATTTTTCAGCTGAGTTAACTTTAATTAATTTAATTAACAGATTATTTAATAAAGACATTAAAGTGACAACAGGATTTCATGATAAAGCCGGCACAGTTTATTTACTTTTTAATCTTCACGGATAAAAAAAATTTAAAAAGTTTTTAAAAAATCGTTTCCACCCTCCGTCCCCGACCCGTCCCAGTCCACCTAGTCTGCCAGGGCTTGCACGTTCCTGCGGGTCGGCAGCACAGAGGATCCTCTGCAGTGACTGGTGGAGCTCGGAGCCGGGAGATGACGCCCTGCCTGGCCTGAGGGGGCTCCAAAGCTCCGGTGGAGAGGACCGGGGAGACCGGCGGAGCTCTATCTAGCTCGCTCTGAATTTTGTTGTCAGTCATCAAGCACAAAAAACACCTGCACTTCAGCATTAGATCACAGAGTTGTCATTAATGTTTTTTAAAATCTTAAAAATAGGTCCAGACAGTCGCTCCTCTGAGTTATTATTACTGCAAATGGCGGATCAGGTTGTTGCTCAAACAACCAGTGACTCCATCCCCTGACCAATCAATGACCAACAGTGTTCTGACGTCACGTTTGAAGGCCATAACGGTACGCTTGGAACAGGAGCGAAGACGTTACTGAAAATGGGGCTGGTTCCACGAATCAATGCTAGTTGAAAAGCCTTGGAACCGTGCAGAGCCAATTCGAACCGTGCCATACAAGTGCTAGTGGAAAAGAGGCATAAACGTTTCTGGTATCTGTTGATCAGTCCTGCTCACCGACATGGAGAAACTTCAGCTCATTCCTCTGTACAGAACACCTTCAACTCTGGATGTTGATAGTTTCCTCACATTAACTGCTGCTTCAGGTCCTTCCACAACATCTGGATTGGATTAAGGTCAGGATTTTGACTTGGCCATTCCAAAACATGAACTTTATTCTTCTTGAACCGTTCTTTGGTAGAACCACTTGCGTGCTGAGGATCATTGTGTCGCTGCATGACCCACCTTCTCTTGAGATTCACTTCATGGACAGATGTTCTGACATTTTCCTTTAGAATTATCTGATATAATTCAGAAGTCCTTGTTCCATCAATGATGACAAGAAGTCCTGGTCCAAATACAGCAAAACAGGCCCAAACCATGATACTACCACCACCACCATGTTTCACAGATGGGATAAGGTTCTTCTGCAGGAATGCAGTTTTCCTTTCTCCAAATATAACTCTTTTCATTTAAAAAAAAAAGAGTTATATTTTGGTCTCATCTGTCCACAAAACATTCTTCCAACAGTCTTCTGGTTTGTCCACGTGATCTTTATCAAACTGCAGATGAGCAGCCATGTTCTTGTTGGAGAGCAGTGTCTTTCTCCTTCAACCTGCCATGAACCATTGTTGTTCAGAGTTCTCCTGATGGTGGACTCATGAACATCAACATTAGTCAATGTGAGAGAGACCTTCAGTTGTTAGAAGTTACCCTGGGCTCCTTTGTGACCTCGCTGACTATTACACACCTTGTTCTTGGAGTGATCTTTGTTGGTTCACCACTCCTGGGGAGGGGAACAATGGTCCTGAATTTTCTGACTGTGGATTGATGGAGTCCAAACTCTTTACAGATGTTTTGTAATCTTTTCTATCCTGATGAGCATCAACAACTTTTTCTGAGCTCCTCAGAAATCTCCTTTGTTCCTCCATGATCCACTTCCACAAACATGTTGTGAAGAACAGACTTTTATGGATCCTGTTTTTTTAAATCAAGCATGGCACCCACTCACACCTGATCATCATCCATTGATTGAAAACACCTGACTCTAATTTCATCTTCAAATTAACTGATAATCCTAGAGGTTCACATACTTTTACCATCATAGATATGTCATATTGGATCATTTTACTCAATAAATAAATGACCAAGTATAATATTTTGTCTCATTTGTTTAACTGGGTTCTCTTGATCTACTTTTAGGACTTGTGTGAAAATTTGATGATGCTTTAGGTCAAATTTATGCAAAAATAGAAAATTATAAAGAGTTCACAAACTTTCAAGCACCACTGTATGAAGGTCCAATAAAAAATGGTAAACTTGGTATTTTACTGCAATATTTGTCCTCTAATCCAACTCTCCTGTTGCTTCCTATCAAATATTGACCTTAAACCATCAAAGGAAAGCCAAAATAGTCCATGCTCAATAATCCAGGTATACAATCCAACAATTTTCAGTCAGGTCATCTGGACAGTTTCTTTTGTTGCTGAAATGTCAAATGGCATCAAAGGAAAGTATCCTCAAAAATACTTTGTGGGAGTTATGAAAATAGACTGGGTTAATTATTCCCAGTACAGTGTAGAGAAGAAGTTCCTTTGTTAAGAGTATGAGCATCCTCTAATAACAGCACGACAGATGCAACAAGAAGAGGATGCTGCATCTTCAAATTTCAGCACCAAGTGACAGATGATCTGGGAGCACCAAGCTACGAATTCAGCTTCCTCCCACGTCAAACAAACATATTTTACAATAAATAAACAATGAATGGCATGTGCACACACACACAAAGACTTAACGCAGGAAAGTGATCATCTTTACCTTGTGCCTGGGCTGATTGGGGGACGACACCACCACTGTGTTGCAGATGGTGAGAGCAATGAAGAAATCCATGATGTCAGAGAGGTCAGAGGGCAACTGGGACATGGGCTGGCTGTGGAAGCGCATGAAGTCCATCTGACTGCTACATTCATTGACCTTGTCCAGGAGCTGAGGGTCAGGGGTGACGTCTTTCTCCTGTGAGAGCGGGGAGGTTATTAATGAAGAGCAAACAGCTTAAGATGGCGGATGGTGGGACGGTGAAATGAACGAACCATAGGGCTGCTGAAGGCTGTGTGCTTTGACAGAATGCTGGCTCGTTTGGCCTCCGCCCTGCTGCCGGTCCTGCGGTGAGACTTGGTGCTGTGGGAGCGCAGCACTACACGGGCACTGTGGTGGCTGGTTATGCTGTCCCGTCTGGGCAGGGTGCCACCACGAGACATACATTCCTCCTCCTCTGAATCAATTTCCTGATACATGGCAATTCTTCTAGCTACATAACACACACATCCACACCCACGACTTTAAAAAGTGACTGGGTTTGACAGTTTTCACTGAGGGGTGTGCGTTGGCTGACTCATCTCACCGTTTGCATCATGGGAGTACTCCACCCCTGCCACAGTGCAGCGCCGGAACACCATCTTGTTTTCAGTCAGTGTGCCAGTCTTGTCAGAGAAGATGTATTGCATCTGGCCCAGATCCTCAGTGATATTAAGTGCTCTGCACTGCAGGTGAGAGTCTGTCTCCTCATCGTACAGGTCCAAGTCCTGATGTATGAAGTACACTTGGCAGATTTTGACAATTTCAATTGACACAAAAAGAGAGATGGGTATCAGCACCTAGGAGAGGAGACAGTGTTGTAGAAAATATTTAGAGCTTGTCATTACAAAAATGGATAAGGAACAAAACAGTTTAAACAATTAGCTTTAAGCAAAATTGAAAAAATAAAATAAAGCAGTTCAACTGGTTAAAACAAATTATCAACACAGACTAAAAGCAACGATTAAATAACAGTATGAAACAGACGGTAACAAATTACTGGACAAAGTTGGTTAAACTTGTTAAAAACATAATTAAATTAACCGAAAAAATGTTATGATATATTTTAAAAAACAAACAATGAAAATTGAGCCAAAGAGCTAAATAAAATGTAATATTGCTAAAGACAGGAGAAAATAAAAACAGAATACAATACAGTGATGTGCCATTTCATACTTTTCATAGTAATGCAGATACATTTTGGCACATATCATAATGATACGACATTACGATGTATTTGAGTTCTCTAGAGCTCATAACTCATCAGGAGTGGATCAAAACCATTGCACATGCAGCAGTGCACAGATAAATCTGGACATTATTTTGACCTGTGCTTATGTCAGATATCACAGCAAGACATTAAAGACAAAAGGAGGAGACAGAGGCAGCTGCATGGGGTCTGCATGTCACCAAAGCATTGCTGCATTTATCACAGAGTGCTCCAAGTGACAGGAAGACAAGCCAGTTTATAAAAATACTAAGTGTTTGCCATTCGATGTCTGTACAGATCGTGTTTATATTTTGACAAAAGGTTTATTTGCATCATTATTGCCTACTACCAAGAGGGTGGAGTGGGACTGGTGGAGTGTGTGTGTTTGTTAGCAAAATATCTCATGAACGACTGGATGGATTTTGTGGAAACACAAAGTAATCACTAGACGGACACGTACAACTGATGTGTCTCTGTATGTGTATGCATGGTGTCCAACGCTTTGCAAAACCAGTCTTTAAAAATCAATATCAAACAATAAGTTAGGGCTCAGCATATGTGATGGGAATGATTCTTAGCTACTACCACACCAAATTTTAGCTCAATACCTGTGACACTGACAGTAGATATTTTGTTTGTTAATGTTGATTAGCTGAGTAGACATCCCAGGTTAATTTTAAAAGCTGTAGATGTACATCCAATGATTACTTTTCATCAAGAATGTTCATTACTTGAGTTTTATTAAAACTGTCACAAGATTTTTTGCTGACAAACAAATGCACACACACACACACACACACTCACGCACACACAGACAAAGGCAATGACATGGTTTTTTCACCACATGGAAAGAAGACAAGAACGCCGGTGGCACGCTAGCCCACTGAACAGGACCAGATGTGAGCAAGTTGAGTTCAGCCTGTTGGTTCAACAGATGTGGGAGACAGCCCCCCCCCCACCCCCCAAAAAAAACATATCAACATCAAGGGTACTAACGTGGACACTGTGGACTGCTAAAAGTACCTGGGGGTCCACCTGGACTGGACAGCTAACACTAACACCCTCTACAAGAAAGGACGGTCTCGCCTTTTCCTTCTGAGGAGACTCAGGTCCTTTAACATCTGCAGGACCATGCTGCAGATGTTAAAGGACTGCTACAAGTACCTGGGGGTCCACCTAGAGTCTAGACAATAAACTGGACTGGACAGCTAACACAAACGCCCTCTACAGAAAAGGGCAGTCACCTTTTTCTTCTGAGGAGACTCAGTCAGGTCCTTTAACGTCTGCAGGACCATGTTGCAGATGTTTTACCAATCGGTGGTCTCCAGTGTCTTCTTCTATTCTGTGGTGTGCTGGGGCATCAGGGTGAAGAAAGCTGATGCCAACAGACTCGATAAACTCATCAGGAGAGCTGGCTCAGTTCTGAGAGTGGACCCAGTCTCTGACAGAGGTGTCTGAGCAGAGAATGCTGAGGAAACTGTTCCAAATCCTGAACAACACGTCACACCCCCTGCATGACACACTGGACTCTTACCGCAGCACCTTCAGTTGTAGACTGAGAAAGCCCAGGTTGCTCCACAGAACAACAAGAAGTCATAAGCATGTCCATAAAGTTCTGACCTATCACACACTACGTGCTGCATAGCCTGCAAGACAGCTCTGACTGGGGGCAATGCACAAAACAGGGTGTCAGCGGGTGGTAAAAGACAGAAGCTACGCAATTTTCATCACGCACCCACTTAAGCGAGATGTAAGACTAGAGTTATAAACCAGCCTTTAGTCAGTTCACTGTCCTTGTACGCCTGAACGTCAACATTTTGGTGTTTATTTTAAAATGACAACAGTCATTTCTGATATGGTTAGTGTTTATGCACTCTGCTATCTCTCATTTGTGTCAAACTATCCGAGATCAAATCCCAGCTGTGGTCTCTGACACGGAGCAGGGTGACATTTTCATTGATGATCTACCTGAAAGCAAACAGATCAATAGATTTTCAGTGTCCCTTTTCACTGATTTGATCTTGTATTAAAGAGGTAACATGCAGCATGAAGCAGCACACACACTGCTTTTTCCAGCCTTTAGGTGATGATAAGGGTTAGAGGTCAAATACCCAGAAAGAATAACTGCGGAATAACTACAGACAACATTTTGATTAACGGCACTGCCTTTAAAACTCAGATACAGGGTGACTCTGCATGCCTTATCTGTAGTTTTAGTTTCATACCTGAAAGACAATGATCATAGTGAGGAAGAGGTAAATGGCTGACATGAATGGCGATAAGTCTTTCCCTTCAGGACTTAGAACATCAAACACTGGTCTCTTATCGCCATACTGAAACATCCACAGCCCGTGACCTGGAACAGCAACCCCACAAGGTCAGCAAACTTTAGAATGAGAGGATAAAAATAATAATATACATACATACAGTGGGGAAAATAAGTATTTGATTCTCTGCTGATTTTTCAAGTTTTCCCACCTACAAAAAATGGAGAGGTCTGTAATTTTTATTGTAGATAATTAATTTGCATTTAATTGCATGAATCAAGTATTTTATTACCTTCCAACCAGCAGGAATTATGTCTCTCACAGACCTGTCAGTTTTTCTTTAAGAAGCTCTCCTATTCTGACTTCCGGTTTGGTGATGTAGAAGAAGGACACAGGGTGAAGGGGCTCCCGACCAACTTTCTTTAAATTACTTTAAAATTGGAGTTACACACTCCCTGCGATAGTACAATGGCCAGCGATAGTCCTAAACAACAAAAACACTCTACTTCAACCAGGCGAACAAACAGCCTGGCCAGCAAAGTAGCAATATTGGCTGTAGCGTCCTCCGACACAGAAACACCTGGTGAAAGTAAATGCGGAGATCCTGTTTCCATGTCCCAGCTGATCACAGAACTGTCTAAGCAGCGGATCAATTTTAAAGATGACGTGGACACATTAATCCAAGACTCAATTCGGCCTCTGCAAGCGTCAGTGGATGGACTGAGGGACAAAGTTAGCTCTTTTCAGGGACGACTTGTGGCAGTGGAAACCCTGACAGATGATAACTTTCAACGCATTTGTGAAGCTGAAGCGGCTGTCAAAACTCTCCAGGCTCAAAACGCAACCTTGATGGACCGCCTGGAAGATCTGGACAATAGATCTCGCAGATCCAATTTACGCATACTTAACTTACCTGAAGGCAGTGAAGATGGCCAGGATTCTATCAACTTCATTTCCAAGTTGTTAAAGGACGTTATGGGGGACGACACATCCCCCCCCCCCCCCGAATTAGAGCGCGCACACCGCACAGCTGGACCCAAGCCCGCAGCAGGACATCCACCGCGGCCCTTCATCCTTGGATTCCGTCGTTACCAGGAAAAAGAAGCTGCTTTAAAATGGTCCAGGCAGCACGAAGTGAAGTATCAGGGAACCACTCTACTCTGAGAATATATCCAGATTTCAGTATTGCTCTTGCAAAGAAAAGATCAGCATTCAACGATGTTAAACGGGCCCTTTACCAGAGAGGTGTGTCATTTCGTCTTCTTTTCCCTGCCCGACTTAGAGTCACGTTTAAAGAAGAAAGTCACTTATTTGAAACACCAGAAGAGGCCCAAGCATTCTATGATCGCTGCAGTGCAAAATAAACAAACATCTACCTGCAGACTCTCTTGACCCAATCACCCTCGGGGAATTGGGAAGGAGGAGGGGTGGAAAAGGAAAGGGGAAAGGGGGGGGGGGGAAAGAAAAAAACTGTCCTTGGCTTTGGTTTCAGTCTTTTGGAACTTGATGGGTAAAATAATAATATTTCAGTTCTAAGTGGATGAACAGTTTGCCTCTCATAGCGGATATCTATCCACACATCTGTGAGTATATCTGAAATACGCATGAATGTACATATATGCCTTCTTTTTTGTGTTTTTATTTTGGTTTTATTTTTCTGCTTTAACTGCCACCTATTAAGATAAGGGTCAGAAGTGAATAATTACGTTAAAGATTTAAATGCATGTCGCCTGGATCTAACAGGCTGAGGTTGGCTTTAAGAATATAGAATTTGGTGAATTGGAACCAAAGTCCACATTCATAAACAGGCTCTATCTAAACATCCATCCATCCATCCATTTTCTTTACCCGCTTATTCCATTTTGGGTCACGGGGGTCGCTGGTGCCCATGTCCAGCAATCACTGTGCGAGGGGCGGGGTACACCCTGGACGGGTCGCAAGTCCATCACAGGGCCACATAGAGACAAACGAGACAAACAACCATTCACTCTCTCACTCACACCTAGGGACAATTTAGAGTTACCAATCAGCCTAACATGCATGTTTTTGGTCTGTGGGAGGAAACCGGAGTACCCTGAGAAAACCCACGCATGCACGGAGAGAACATGCAAACTCCACCCAGAAGGCCCCTGGACCGGGGTTTGAACCAGGGACCTGCTCGCTGAGAGGCAGCAGCTCTACCAGTTGCGCCACCGTGCTGCCCTCTATCTAAACAGATAGACTCTATCAGGTCTCTCTTGTAAATGAGTCCTCGAGGCTCAATGGGATTTACCTGTATAAATAAAGGTTGAATGATAAACAGGTTGGTTATGGTGCAGGTGTGGTCATGATGCTGCCCTGAGGAGTATATATTAATAACTGTTTATAGTGACTTGTACTGTTTTAATTCATTGACTAAAGAGTGCAACTCCTGCATGTTAAGATAACTGGGAGCCCTCTCAAGCTAGTTTGATATCAAGAGTATGGCCTATCGAAAGACATACGAGGTGTTAGAGGGAAAGCAGGTTGCTTCGTCAAGGGAAGCACAGCTAGAGAAGATTAAATTTAGCGTTAGAGGATCGGTCCAAAAATTTTAAAAAACATGGGCTCCCCTACTATCTTATTTTGAGAAATTAGATGCCCTCCCTCAAACTTGAAAATTAAGCAGCAACTTATCCTGCTGTAGATATAGTGTGCCTGTGCCCCCAACCCAGTTGCATCAGTAAATCCTTGTAACTACTGACAGTGATAGTATACTTCTATGGTTTTAAATATCCATATTCTATTTCAATCTCTGCATATAAATACTCGTGTTTATGTTTGAATGTATATTATCCGTGTATTTACTTTATGCTCTTTTGATCTTGTGTGTTTTCATGCTTATAATCATTCAGGACTACAGCTGATTAATTTTAGTTTATTTATTTATTCATTTATTTATTTTACATTTGGCAGCAAGGTGGAAATGGATGGGGAAGGAAACAAACAACAACAAAAAAAAGTCGCAGCTGTTTTATTTATTTTTTTATTTATTTCTATAATCAATGTTGTTTTTGCTGGATGAATAAAAAAATAAAATAAAAAGAAGCTCTCCTATTCTGCACTCATTACCTGTATTAATTGCACCTGTTTGAACTTGTTACCTGTATAAAAGATACCCGTCCACACATAATCAATCACACTCCAACCTCTCCACCATGGACAAGACCAAGAGTTGTCTAAGGAGACCAGGGACAAAATTGTAGACCTGCAGAAGGCTGGGGTGGGCTACAGGACAACAGGCAAGCAGCTTGGTGAGAAGACAACAACTGTTGAGGAAATTATTACAAAATGGAAGAAACACAAGATCTTCCTCGGTCTGAGGCTCTATGCAAGATCTCTCCTCGTGGGTTAAGGATGATTCTGAGAAAGGTGAGGAATCAGCCCAGAACTACATGGGAGGACCTGGTCAATGACCAGAAGAGAGCTGGCACCACAGTCTCAAAGAAGACCATTAGTAACACAACATGGTTTAAGATCCTGCAGGGCACGAAAGGTCCCCCTGCTCACAACAGCACATGTCCAGGCCCATTTGAAGTTCACCAATGACCACCTGGATAATCCAGAGGAGGTATGGGAGAAGGTCATGTGAGACCAAAATCAAGCTTTTTGGTATCAGCTCCACTTGCTGTGTTTGGAGGAAGAAGAAGGATGAGTACAACCTCAAGAACATTGTCCCAACTATGAAGCATGGGGATAGAAACATCATTCTTTGGGGGTACTTTTCTGCAAAAAGGACAGGACGACTGAACCGTATTGAAGGGAGGATGGATGGGGTCATGCATCATGAGATTTTGGCCAACAACCTCCTCTAAGAACATTGAAGATGGGTCATGGCTGAATCTTCGAGCATGACAATGACCTGAAGCACAGCCGGGGCAACTAAGGAGTGGCTCCATAAGAAGTATTTCAAGGTCCTGGAGTGGCCTAGCCAGTCTCCAGACCTGAACCCAATAGAAAATCTTTGGAGGGAGCAGAAACTCAATGTTGCCCAGCGAAAGCCCTGAAACTTGAAACATGTGGGGAAGATCTGTGTGGAGGAGTGGGCCAAAATCCCTGCTACAGTGTCCAAACCTGGCCAAGAACTAGAGGAAACATCTGACCTCTAACTGCAAACAAAGGTTTCTGTACCAAATATTAAGTTCTGTTTTTCTACTGTATCGAATACTTATTCCATACAATAAAATGCAAATTATTTAAAAACCATACAATGTGATCTTCTGGATTTTTTTTTTTAGATCCTGTCTCTCACAGTTGAAGTGTACCTACAATAAAAATTACAGACCTCTCCATTCTTTGTAGGTGGGAAAACTTGCAAAATCGGCAGAGTATCAAATACTTATTTTCTTCAAAATATGTATGTTTGTGTATAAATATAAATGCTTCACAAAACAGAAATCCACCCACATTTTTTCTTTCATTTCAAAGAGACTTTCAAAACTAAATTTGCTTGCCACACAAAAGAAATGTTGAAACTGCTGATTTACATACCAATGGCAGCAAACAGGCACATAACGAGCAGGATGACGACACACCAGAACACATCCACATTCATTTGTCTCTCCAGCTTACTGCGCTTGTAACGTGGTCCATTGTTGTTCAGCATGGCTTTGGTCTCATGACCTGCAGAGAAACATGGCACCTTAATCACAGGGTCTTAGATGGCCTGGACGCATGGACAACATAGATACTATAGAAGCTGACCTGCGTAAATTACTATTCCTACAGCTTCCTCTGTGTTGCGGATAGTGCATCCTCGCAGCAGCAGGTTGTCTTTGTAAAGTGCATCTCTTCTGCCACTTTGATGAATTCTGTCAATTTGGTGGATGCAGAAAACAAATTACAACAAAAAAAGACAAAAAAATTATGGGGATACTTTTAAAAAAAAAAGTTTATTTTTAAATAAAAGCTCACATCAGTTTTAGTTTGCCAAGCACTTCAGTCATTCAAAGTCTAAAGCATCATGGTACCAACTGGACCAGAGGCCCGATACCTCAAAACAAACCCTCACTGATACAGAACAAGAGATCAGACTGCTGCTCCTCAGAAAAAACTCAGTTGAGCTGAAACATCAGAAAACTCACAGCCTCAACATGGACCCTCGACCCTCACTTAAGACTTGTCAGTTTAAAGGGATATTACCGTTTTTGGAAGTGAGGTTTTGCAAAAACCTGATTTAAAAAGATTGGATAGAGCTCTCCAGTTTCATTCAGTAAGGCCATGTTGTAGAAAAATAAAATTCAGCTCATACCAGACAGAGCCTGCCCTTCAGAATATGCTTTTTAATAAAAGTGACATGTTAAACATTTGTAAACAACAAGACAATAAGACTAAAGATTACAAGTGTAAGTGAAACCCTTGTGTAAGCATTAGTTGGGAGCAGAACTTGATCATCTCTGTTGTAGTGTCACCTATCAGCATGTTTACCAACAGGACGGTTCATCCTTTGGCCCTTGACAACAAGCCAATGGACACATCATCACCATTATAGATTAATAAGAATGTCCCAGAGCTCAAAGCAGCGGCTCAGCAGAGTTCACAGCTTCCACTGTTAGAGATATTGATAACAACCTGTGAGACACAGAGTGCTTTCTCTCCGTGTAGGGAAGAGAGATTAAACTGGGTGTCAATGACTGTAATGTAATAAAGCAAAGCTGAGCCAAGACACTGTGCCCTGTGCTCCACTGTAGCCTGGCAACTGAATACCTGCAGGATCTGGTCTCTTTCTGAGCACAGAATATGTGTCAGAAGTGAACAAGTGCGAGTCAACCTCAGACGAAACTTCTTATCTTTTGCCCCACTTACTCACTCACAAGATTCTTTCACAAAACACTTTTGCAAAATGGCTGCAAAGTCCAGTTTGTCTTTATGCTGTTTCTGGCCATTCATAAATCACAGATGAAACTGTCCACATCCTGCAAAGATGTGATCCCAGAAATGAAACGAGCCTTGCAGAAGCAATAGAGGGGTGGAGCAGAACTCGGCTGGGTTGACATGGAGCGCAGCACATTAAATGTATGACAGATGTCTCCCGTTTTGTTTTCAAAACATGACAAATAAGCAACTCTCTTTGTAGTTAATTTTGTTTTTTTTCCAAACTAAATACAAAGGTGCTGTGCATCATTATTAATCTTTATAATAAAACTGTTTGTAGTTTAATCTCGCAACCAGGTGGTCGTACAAATAGGTCGTTCCTTCATCACATTACTGCATTTCAGCTAAGCCAGCTTATTTTTTCACATGTCGACCTTAGCGGCTCTGTCACTACCTTGTTTCACGACACAAAGGTGCATCAAAGGTGGGCGGGCTTCAACTACCCTCCCTGCCTCAGTCCATTGAGAAATCACATCGAAGCTGCGAGAAGGCATTTAAGTTCTGGCTTGAAGGGTTTTGTGAAATACTCCACCCAAACTCAGACGCACACAACATAGCCTAATTACATGTCATGGTAACAGACTGTGAAAGAAAAATAAAATAAAATAATTTAAATTAAGTTAAAAAGTCAGGCACTTGACACCTTGGCATCTACACATTTGATTTAAAGAAGACAACAGTGGTGGGCAGCCATCTTTCAGCCAGCAGTACTCACATGTAGCCTCGAAACCTGTTCAGGTCATTGTTGGGTTTTTCACATTCGATGATGCTGTTGTACTTTACTGGATCAAATTCACAGTCCTGTTAACAAAACACACACACAGCTAACTACTACAGGCAGATTGGACTCTCCTAACATACTGAAAGTTTGGTGCATTATGCTAACATGCAATGTACAGACTCTAGTTGCAGATATCAATCTGCAACTTTCATAAGAAGCTTTCATGAAAAAAAAGCTTTTTTAAAGTTAATGGAATGAAAGGTCGGCACAGTGGCTCAGTTGGTAGATCTGCCACCTCTCAGTGAGAAGGTCGTCAGTTCAAATCCCGGCCCAGGACCTTTCTGGGTGGAGTTTGCATGTTCTCTCTGTGCATGCGTGGGTTTTTTCCGGGTACTCCGGTTTCTTCCCACAGACCAAAAACATGCATGTTAGACTGAGTGGTAACTTTAATTTGTCCCAAGGTGTAAGAGAGTGAATGGTTGTTTGTCTCGTTTGTCTCTATGTGTCCCTGTGATGGACTGGAGACCTGTCCAAGGTGTCCTCCGCCTCTCACACAGTGACTGCTAGATATGGGCACCAGTGACCCCTGTGACCCAAAAAGAGAGAAGCAGGTAAAGCTGATGGATGGAATGAAAGGTTTGATAAAGCAGTTCACATGCCAGCAGCCCAGTAATCCTAAAATGTATTTTCTTGAGTAAATGTATTTAAACCAATCTCAAATAAAAATAAAATTACCATATGCTCATATGCTCATGCTCAGCAGGTATAAATCCAGCAGCGTTCAGTCAGGTCATCTGGACGGTTTATTTTGTTGCCGAGACGTTTTGTCTTTCATCCGAAGGACTTCTTCAATCTGAGGAGCCACCAACAAACTGAGTCCCACAACCAGCTCACTCCCAGAGAGAAAAAAAACAGTTTGCTGGTGATAAGATGGCCGCCGGGACCAACCCTCTCGGTTCCAAAAGAACCCGTCCAGATGACCTGACTGAACATTGCTGCATTGACTCAGGTGTGTTGGAGCAGGGAAACAAGTAAAACGTGCAGGACTGAGGCCCTCCAGGGACCAATGGACATACATGTAAAGTCAAACATGAAAACATGTCGATGTAAAACGTATGTTAAACATTGTAAAAATCTGTCTTTAACAATGCTGAAAACGTCTAAAACTCAATAAGTGTGATGCTGTCCAGTTGATGCAGACAAGAAAGGAGTAGTTTGAGTCTCACCAGGTCAAAGAAGCTTCGGACGACCTGCCTCTGCTTGAGGTTGGTCTCTCCATCCAACGTAGCGGTCTCAATGTGACACAGGCGGTCCGGGTCGCTGGAGCTCAGCAGCAGAACGTCGGCGGGCAGGATCTCATTACACCGTAGCCTGATAAAGTCTCCAACACGCACCTCTTTCCAGTACTTTTCCACATAGCGTTTCTCCACTCTGCTGGAACAAGGTATAACTTTACACAGTGCTCCTTCTACACACCAAGTAATCTACAAATCCCAGATTACAGAGCTCCTAGATGAAGGCTTTATCAGTTTTCATTTCTGTTCAATTAAAATCTTCACACATGACAAACTTGTTAATGGACACAAAAGACAAGAACTGTATTTCTTTTACTTTAAACAAATGAAAAATAATATATATAAATTCCTAAGAAGAGCCCAAAACTGTTATGTGATCCATAATTGTTATCTACAAGACGTGACACCTGCATGCACCTCTACAAAGCATCTGATTCTTCAGGAATTCATTTAAAAAACATTCACTTTGAGCAGCAGCCTAAAAGAAGGCCCAAGAAAATTTGTACAATAAAAAAATATATACATTTTATAACTTGACAAGTAGAACTAAATTGATTTTTTTTTTATTGCTGTCACATTTAAAAAGGTACAAGTACAGACTCTCAGGAGACCAACGATTTTCTTTGCTTGTTATTACAGTAGGCAGGATTTATAAAAAATAATGAAAAAACAAAACACGACAGACGCAAACATTCTGTATGAGAAACATTCAATATTTACTGATTTTATTAGAAAAAATAATGTAGCTGATAAAGAAAACTGATATTTGCAATCATGTTGGTGGTGAGTAAAACATGAGATGTTAGTTTGTGAAAAAGCAAATAAGCAAGTAAGCGTCATAAGGTTTGCTCATATAAAGATTTGAAGCTCTCGACCTTGACCTCTCTAAGTGGCTTTAAGAATCTGTTGGACACCTGGCAGGGACCAATGCAGACATGTTCCTGTTTTTAGTTTTATACATTTGTCTTGGAATCTAGCTGTTTTTTTGGTTTTGTTACCTTTTTCCTTTTAGCCATCCTATTTGTTAAAAAAAAAAAAAAAAAAAAAAACTGTAGTATGAGTTTTTATAACTGCTTATTGTTGTTGCTGTTGTCCATTGTTGTCATCTTTCTTTGTTGAAATCAGGTCTCTCTTGTAAATGAGTCCTCGAGGCTCAATGGGATTTACCTGTATAAATAAAGGTTGATAACAAATCTGGAGCCTCTAATTATGACTTACATTCATTAGCACAGGTTAACAAAATAAAGGCTGGAATGGCTGATTAAACAGAACAAAGCCAAAGATAACTGTGAAAACTTTCTAAATCGCAAGGAGGAAAAAAAAAACTACATATAACACCGGAGAGATTGTTCTGGTCGTTGATATCAGTCAGCTGAGTATTTTCAAGTCCATATGACAGAAGACGATCTTCTATTTTTTTATTTTTCTGTTTTTCACCGAGACACCAACATGTTACTATATGATATTTGTGAATGCACAAATCTTTCATAGCTAGAAAGAAAGAAAGAAAAAAACTTAGAAAATGTCTACTCCCTTATTAAAGGAATTCTTCTTTTATGAAACAAAAACCTGGAAACAAGCTTCACCATTTAGCAAGAGGCCTGTGAGGCTTACCTGCTGGGTCTGTTCGAGGACACCAACCTGTGAGCCATCTATACCAAGAGGGCCACCATCATGTCCAAAGACATCCAGCTGGCCTGCAGGATCCACAGGGAGAGGGCTTAGACTGACCCAGACCGCATCTGAACCCACAGGACCACACTGCTAACAGGAACATCTTGCTAACAGGTCCACACTACTAACAGGACCACACTGCTAGCAGGTCCACACTGCCAACAGGACCACACTGCTAGCAGGTCCAC